CTGTATTATTCTCTCTCTCTCTCTCTCTCTCTCTCTCTCTCTCTCTCTCTCTTTTGTATGGATACTTAAAGGAGGTTCTGATTTCCATTGTCCACTCTCTTAAACATTTTTAAGTCATGTATGTATGATGTCAACTGAAGGAGAATAATGCATATTTTAGCATTTTCCCCAAAATTTTGGTGGAAAACGTATTCTGATATACTCAAAATTGGGTTCGTTGATTATCGAGGCAATCTAGTTATGAAATTTGTAATATTTTGTCTTGATTGCAGGTGCTTCCTTTCTTGGGGTTCTCTCTGGCGATGTTCTTGTTTTACTCATCGGTTCCTCTCTTGCTTAAGGTAATGAATAGTTTCTGGAGATCTTTTCCATCTACGACATTCTATCATTATTATTTATTATATTTTTTAATTTGCCTTGATAACACTGCTACTTTATTGGACGTTAATATAATGCTAAATGCTGAAAAGAGTGCCAGAAATGGATATTGTGAATCAAGAAGAAACAAAAGAAATGAATTGAATTAAGAAAGAACAAAAGATTACTTGCAAACCTAAACAACAGGAAATGCATTTTGTAATATTTAGATGGGCTGAGGAGCATGTAAGATCGTATTAGGCTTCCTAATGGATTGCTTAAATAAAATGGCATGCATCACTGTCATACTTGTCCCTCTTTTGGCATGCATGCGTGAAAATCTATATAGTTGTTGCAAAAGGGGAATATATGCATATTTAATTTCTCAGAGGCTAAATCGTTTTTGAATATGCAGATTAGTGGTGCAACCATGCTCAACCTCTCTCTTCTGACCTCAGACATGTGGGCAGTTGTCATTCGCATCTTTGCATATAATGAGAAGGTTTATATTTATTCACATATTAAGTTTGTCTGCAGCCTGATTATAATTACTAGGATGCTTCACCCCATTAGATTGTTTAATGAAAAATCTGCAGGTTGACTGGTTGTATTTTGTAGCTTTCGGAGCTGTTGCCGTTGGGCTATTAATATATTCGTGGTAAAATGCTCTATTGTGCTCTTATCGTTCTTTTCATTCTCTACATCGAGACATAGACTGGTTTGATCATTACTTTAAATTTATGTATAGGGAATCCAAGAAGGATGAGACCTTAGGAGAGGTTAATGAAGCTGCAATAGAGGATGAGGAGGCCAGGATAGAGAACTTGGATCAAGGAGGAGTAACACCGACAGTTGGTAAACACTACTCATCTGCTCCCTGAAGATGTGGTTCTTCCTATTGATGACAGGAAAAGTTGATAGAGGTGCCAAGTGCAAAAAAGCATCTTGACGTTGTATGCATGTTTTTGTAGCAAGGAGAGGCCCGTATCATGCGCTTGTAATGGAGCAGTCGTAATGGTGCAGCCATTAGAAGACAGCGTCGCAATGCTACAAAGCTGTCATCATATTTGCTGCATCACCCTTGCTCTTTTTTTTTAATTTATTATTATTATTATTATTGTTCAGTTGGTGTTCATAGGAAAGAGTTAGGGTTAACAATATATTTATTTAGAATAATTACCTCAACAATCTGGCCAGTTTTTGCAATAAAGGTTGATTGTCTCAGTGAAAGATGTGGTTAAAATGTAATTGGTTACTTCCATGATAAATTATGCCTAGGGAAATGTTTCTATGGGGCCCCAAAACGTATAAGTTATATGTGACCACACTTAGCTACGATTGTTCATGCCCTCTGATTTATTTTTTAGTTTTTTCTACAAAATATTTTTAGATGAAATTTTGGGTGTCCCATCATAAAATTAGGGCGAACCTGAAAAAAAATAAAAATAAAATAAAATTCTGTACAAACAAATGGCCAAAATGCCTTCTTAATTTTCAGGGGTATTTTGGTAATTGTTTATCACCAAAAAAAAAATTTTTTTATTATTATTATTATGTTCATCATCACGTGTACCCCTGTCAGATCCATGCATTCTCAAATTTTGTTTTAAAATGATTTATAAAATAAAAATTAAAAATAAATAACTTTGAACCGTTTGGTCAAGATATGACATTTAAAAGGCAATTTGTGACATTGTGACTCAAGCCATCTTAGCCATCTACATGGATCTGATGGTTGAGATTAAGAGTCACATATACTATACATGTGGGTAGGGTCACATAGAAAGCCTTCCCGTTAACAAATAGGTTTACAATTTGAATAACCAAAATAAACCTTGATATTTCTCATCTTTTATTCATACAGGATAAACATTATAAATACACTGATTATGGTAAGCACCGGCATTAATTTGGTTTCTTTTATCACTATCCATTGAAATTGATCAAGGAGAACACAACCATTTTACCAATATTCCAGCAAGAGCAACACAAGTCTAAGTTAAAATGGCAGTTAAAAGAGACTACCAATATTCCAGCAAGAGCAACACAATTCTAAGTTAAAATGGCAGTTAAAAGAGACATGATATGACTGGACAATATTTTGATATTGATTATAGATCCATTAAATATTTAGAGTGGAATGGTGGATCAAGATCTATATAGCCAACTCCAAATAATTGAAAGAAAACTCGGATGATGATCCATAAAAAACAAAGAACGAGCGAAAGCAATGTCTGGTGGATGACATTGAATGAAGATTTCACCAGTACAACGTCATATAGACAACTTCAAGAACTAGCCATTGTGACAAGATGTATTCAGTATTCAAAATGGACAGAGGTATCTAAGAACCAAAGTTGTCAAGCCTTCACATAGAGCAAACGTATTTGGTGAATTGGCCAACTCATGCATCTGGTTTTTTACATACTTGGGAAACCAAAACACATCCCCAAAATTATTGGGACTCCATTTCCATTTAAGGTTCATGAATTTAAGGCTTTAAAAACAATGCACATAGAGTCATTTTTGAAGAATTAACATGAATGGTCCAAAAAGAAGCACAAAACAAACTATTTTTAAGGCTCAAAATTCAAATTCTTTTATCTCATATTCATGACCGTGGCAGTTAGATGATATTATGGTAGACCTGCAAAGTTTTGAATCACAAATGCATCTCCAAGTGGATCAAGGAAAGGTGGACTCACCGAAACAGGTATGTTGTAACATGTGCATCCAAGATGCACATAAATCCTATCCTTTAACATAGATCTTGCTAGCATTGTTCTTCATGACGATTGGTGCTGAATTGCTCACGGAACTCAAATAACTGGGCATACACAAGGACGTCAAAAAATAAGGGGGAAAAAAAGGAAAAACAGAACAGTTGGCACTTGACTCTATCTCTTGCTTACACAACAACTCTTCATGATCATTTTTCTTCATTATGCATACTACTGTTTGGGGATGCGGCCATTTGGTTTGCTCATCCTCTGGTGCATGATTTCCTCAGTGGAGATCAACCTTCCAAAGAAAGATCCTATATGACAATCCTACTCTACCATTCCTCCCAAGCTTTGTAGGGGTGCATTGTACAGGTGTGGCTACAAATCTACAACACCAAAATCATGAAAAACCTAAACATATGACATGCCAAAACAAATAGAGAACACCTACATAATTTATATATTTAATAGCTATTCAGAATTGATGAATCAGTTCACTCTTTTACAAGCTCATGGGAAGGAAAAGCTCGTCAAGAAGAGTCTAAATATCTATGCCCATCATTGGATGGTTTTGGATTTTTGCGATAAAAACGAGGAAACAGCATGCGGCGGATCTTCTTCTCAGCAGAACTTTCAGAAGTGGCCTGCAGAATGATGGCACAGAAAAAGAAAAATAAATAATATCGCTATGATAAAAAAGATATTGAATGGTTACATACATCATCTCCATGAAGAATTGTCTTAAACAGCAAAGGCATCAACATAAATTTCTTGTTTTTTGAAAGGTAACACATCATGGAGGGGCTTATACACAATCACAAAAGCTCTATGCTAAGGATCAAGAAGCCAGGAATAAGTCCCAAGATTAAAATCCAAAACTGGTGATAGTCCAACTAGATTTCAAGTCAACCTCCATATTAGCATCCCTATGCAAATAATGAGCAAGGTAATTTCTATACATTTCAGAGTATCCAAAATATCATCATGATTCATAAGTTCCATGGGTCACCACACCTTCCGAACGCTCCTGTTTATTGTCCTTGTGAAACATTTGCCTCTGAATATATGTCAACTCTTACTCACATAATGTCCATTGATGCAGGTGCCCAGACACGAAAGCACAAAAACATACATTATCTCCATGTTACGAGTAATTTCTCACATACCCACCCACCAAAAAAAAACAGAATCTTATAGAAGATAAAAGTTGTAACTCAATTTTAAAGTCATCCAAGCTGAAAGAATGACAAATAAAGCCTTCAACCATTTTATAATTAAAAAAAAGAAGTAAAAAGCAACATAGAAAACCAGACATTGAGGTACTGCTACCTCACACCAAGATCATAAAGAACTTTAGTGAGCTAGAACTTTAACAATCACATATATATGGCAAACTATATCTCAAGTAGTCTACAACTTATGGATGGGTGTGGTTCGTATACATCCGAGGCTCTAAACAATCAAAGTAAAGCGCACCTTCAAATAGTGTCGAGAAATGTGGTTTCAATACTGAAAATCTTTGTGAAAGTCTTTAAATATATATATATATATATATATATATGGAAAACACTACGCAACACCTATAGGCGAAAATAAACAGTGATTTCGCCTACCCCCATCGCTGTCCAAAGTTCATCGTACGGTCACGATTGTCCAGTAGTGTTTCATTTTTCATTTTTTTTTTCTACAAATCGGAATGGCCTGAAATTTGGAGCGTGTATTCATCAAAAATAGGGGAATCTTCGAAAAATATAAAAATATATTTTACATGAAAAAAATTGACCAAAATATCCCCGAAAAAAATTGACCAAATTAGATGCGCCGCAA